ACAACAACAGAATCAGTGAGGAAACAGCAAACTGCTGCTTTTTACAAACTTTAATGTTTCAGTCAGAAAACAAATAAAGAAACTGAAGAAACTAAATATTCAGAGACAGAACAGAACCACTTAATTAGAACCGAACAGAACCAGTTAATCAGAACCAAAAAGAAAGGAAAGGTGAATTCAAACATCACAAACCGTTTGTGTCACAACATCAGAGCTTCATGAACATTTCGTCACAGAGCTTTAAACTGAACCGTTTGGTCTCGTTTCTTTAGAATCCTCTAAACAGCTGCTTTTTATTCTCCTACAGCAGCAGCAAGCGGAGCTCCGACAGCTGAGCGTCAGACACAGAAACCAGTTTAATGCAAACACATCATCAATAAACCATCAACAGTTGAACTAATCAACCAGTTTGAGTAAAAGAGTCCGAACTCTTACATTCAGCTTCTTCACTGTGAATCTTTTCTGGTTTCTTCCTCTGTGCCAGGTCTTTGGACAGAAACAGACGCTTGAGGAAACTCTGATCAAAACCTTTCAAGCAGCTGATCGATCAATAGCGACATTAGCTGTTGGCTGCAGCTCCTGCTCATGGAGACTGGTGAAGACAGACAGAAGACGCGTTCAGAACCATGAAACACTGCTGGACTCCCACCGAGGTCCGGTGGTCGGAGAACCACCATCTGCTCTGAGCGATCCTGACGAGCAGCTGCTTCACTGCGTCCATCAGTTCAGGTGTTCACGTGTATTTAAGGTCCATTTCACAAACTACTGAAACTAGAAAGAACACGAGCGGCTGAGTGAGCTTCACTAGAAAGGGTTTTACTGTCACTGAAAACATCTCAACCCTGTCACGATCAGAACCTGAACAGAACCAGGGAACGAATCCTTCACGTTAAATGTAGGTCTGCTCAGCTGGAGGGTCGATTAAAGCTCAGCCGAGAAAAAACACAACAAACACTGTTTTCTGTCAGACAAACCATCCTTTATAGGAAGGTTCTGACCCAGTGTGACTGACAGAAACAAACGAAACGTGAAACTTTCCTTCCTCACCAGCACAGACAACACCTGACAGCTTTGTATTAAATAAGGAAGTTGAACATTTCGCCAAAATGCTGGATTAGTTTGAAGACGGTGACTTGCTTAAGCACTAGAGGAAGCTGAACATCATTGTTGGAACCTTCGATCTGGCTTCAGTTTCTGCAGGACGCCGGTTTATTGAGTGAAGCCCTGCTGAGATGATGAGTGAAAACGGCTGGAAATGAGCTTCTTCTCTTCATCGAGACCCAGAACCTGGACTCGGGACAGAACAAAACCCACCAGAAGGTTCCAGAGGACAGCCGGACCCAGCAGTGATGAGCAGGGAGTCCAGTCCATGACGCTGACCTGCTTCGTTTCAAGAAAACAAACAGAATCTGGTTTAAGCCAACAAACCTTTTCTGTAACTGGAGGTGAAATCAGCAGCTGCAGTTTCTGATGCAGGTCGATCAGAGGAAACGCTGACAGTCTGCTGGTCTGGACCAGCTTCTGACAACTTTTCACACTTGTTCTGTTGTTTGACACAATAATCTTCAAACATCTGGATGAGAGCAGCTTCACTGGGAATTCATAATAAATGTAGTTTATGTGAACATGTTTTATATCATTCTGATTGGCTCACGTTAGGATTAAGTTATTTTAGTTGAGGAGGTCTGAGGAGGAGGAGGAGGAGGAGGAGCAGTAAACATCTGTATGTCTCTTAGTTCACACCTCCAAGTTTACCATCAGCACAAAACACAATAAAAACGGCTTTGACCTCAGATTTAGGCTGTTTTCATCCAAAGCTTAAATTAAACACATTTAAATTCCAGTCATTCTTCTTCAGGTGAATTGCATAACTTCATGACATCACATCCCAGCAGCTCCTGTTGCCGAGAATAAAGTGACCTACATAGAGATCTGTGTGGTTCTAACAGAACACGGACAGTCCACAGCAGTAAAGGGAACTGGAGGAGGACCACGCCTCTCCGCAGTCACTCCAGCGGAGCAGCAGAGATGCACAGGTTGTTTAAGGCACAGGCGACTTGAACAATCTTGTCGAAGGTGGAGAGGTTGGAGGTCCGCTCTGAGGCGGCGGTGAAGGGACTCTCCACCGGGCCGGTCAGCATGGCGTACCGCCGCTTCACCATGGAGATCACCTTCTCCACGTGTCTCTGCACGCTGGCCTCCAAGGAGGCATCGGCCGGCCGGTCCTCCGACCCTGCGGCGGTCTCTCTGCGACCGCCGGCGGTTTTGAACGAAGCTCCTCGAGCGGCAACCGACTCTGCGATGTCCAGATCCCGCGCGGCCAGCACCACGTCTCCCGGCAGCAGCTTGCAGAGCAGCCCGCATCCCTCGGCCAGGCTCTTATCGCTGACGCTCCCCAGCACGCCCCTGGAGACGAAGGTGACCACGCCCTGCGGAGCCACGCCCACCAGGTACTTGAGCACGTTACAGCCGGCCCCGGCCTCGGAGCCCTGCGGCGCCCCCTGCTGCTGGTTGCCCCGGGAAACCGGCTCCTCGCAGGGCACCGTGAAGCAGTCTATGATGACGGCGCAGTCGGGGTGGGAGGCTCGCAGCGCCGCCGGCAGGTTTTTCCGGAGCTCAGCTCTGGAGGGCCAGAAGACGGCCGTGGGCACCAGAGTGGAGGACATGATGTTGACCATCCGGTGCACCGTCCTGGTCACCGTGCCGACCTTCACGCCGAAGCGGTAGGCCAGGTCCTGGTTACGGAGGTCCAGACGGAGTCGCATCAGCGTCAGCAGCAGCTGCTGGAACTTAGACAGCTTCACGTTCTTCATGCCGTCCATGTGAGGAGCCAACAGCCACATGACCGTCTCCAACACAAAGTAGTTTGGTAAACCGGTGTAGAACTTCACCTTCTCGGCATCGTTCCTCAGAGAGTTCTCGGAGAGCGACATTCTGTCCACAGACTCTCTCAGCGCCTGGTTCTCCTTCTTCAGGGCCTTCAGGATGTCATCAAAGTTCACCGGAGCGTCGGACGTCTGAGCAAACTTTCCCTTCTTACTGTCACTCACAGATTCATCGTCATCATCGTCTTCATCTGTGCTGACTGAAGAGGAAACACTTTCCTCCACGATGGCCTCCTGCTCCTCAGGAAGCTCCCCAGGAAGCTCCTCCTGCTCCTCAGCAGACCTGCCCTGACCCTGCAGGAACAACAAGGCATTGGCAGCCTCCACGCGAGCCTCCTGCTTGTCCAGGATCTCTAAGGCACCTGGTTCCTTCATCTCTGGGGACGATGGAGCAGCGGTGAACACAGAAGGAACATAATCTGGTGACCGTGGGTTCTTCACCTGTTTACCTGCAAACAGAAGAACAGGAGGAGCTCATAGAAAATCAAAGCATCCGTTTGTGACACTTTTAAAACAACCGTGTGCGTTAGTCGACAGATGTTGAGCCAAGTTCTCACAGTTCTTATTATGCTGCTGTTCTGATGAGAAAAGTCTTTGTGTTATGAGTCTTTATAAGTTTTTGTAACGTCCTGATTTGGAGAAAAAAAACCCTGAAAAACAACAGGAAATGTTCAAATAATTCCTCCCTGGAAACTTTCTCCTGACCGCATCTTAAATCAACAACAGCATTAAAAACTACCAGAATAAGACCTGCAGACATCAAATTAAGTAAATTAATAAACTAAGAAATAGAAGAAAAAACTAAACATTTCCTTTTGTTTTCAGTGAAGCTCTAAATTATTCATACCCCGCCACATTTTGACATATAGTGATTTTTTAAACTAATTTTTTTCTGGCTGGAAAACAGCAGCACATCGGTTACAGGAGCTTACTCTCAGTTTTCACTGTTGGTTGTCAGTGATCAGAGACGAAGCCTTTATTGGTCACATCCGTCTGGAGTGACAGTCGGCTTGTTTGTCGTTTCCAACCAAATGAAGACTGCTGGTCTCCAAAAACTAAATAATTACCAACATTAATGTCAGTCATTTGGGACTTTGTAGCCACCTGACTTAAAACTGGTTCACGATATTCAGAAGGTGGCTTACAAAATCTTAACTTTACATTTATTGGCATTTTGCAATGAAAGTTGAGTGTATGACTTACAGTTTTGTTTATTTAATTAGTTAACAGTGAAAATAGTGTCTGTGGTGAGTTCAGAGTCAACTACAGGCTCAGACAGTACCTGAGACATTAATGAGCCACCAGTACCTCTGACCCTGTAGCTCCCGAACAGAACCTCAGCTGAGGGTCCATAAACAACCCGTGTGTCCTGCCTGATGCTCCACAGCACCACTGGTCCTACCTGAGATGAAGTGAGTACTACACAGCCGGCTGCCGTCGTTCGGTACCCAGCCCTCCCGGTTCACGGCAGCTATCCAGCGCTGCTTCCTCTCGGGGTCCCGGGGGAACCGGTAGAACGACAGGCTGGTCCCCGGTGTCCTCCTGTTCCTGCAGCCGGCCACCACGCAGGTGTGAACCATAGTCGGGCCCGGAGCCGCGTGGAGCCGCGCCGCTGTCTGTGGCTGCTTGACTCCCAAAATGGCGGCCGAGCAGAGGGGGACAAAAAACAGCAGCTGCGTCACCAGCGGGCGCCAGGATCCGCGCGTCTGATTGGACTGTTTTGCTGGAACGTCATCGAAACGCGACCCTACGCACGCTGCTTAAACAACGTTAAAGCTCTAAAAAAAAAAAAAAATGTACTGCGTTCTTATACATATCGCGGAAATTTAGAAACGAATCTTTTCTTGTGACGTAAACGTTTTTGAAACTAAGGAAATAAAAGTGAAAAAATCGCAACCTGTTGCTACAGGAGGAAGTATTAGCATAGCTACTAAGTGGCTAGCTCCACATCAACCAGCAGGGCGCATCTGAAACAAGACACAGATCACAGCTAGAACTCTGTTATTTAAAGTAGAACTGTAAACCTGCTGATAGTGAGTAAGTGATAGTGAGTCCAGTTTACCTTCATCTCTCTGCAGTAATGACAACAGATATCATAGCAGGAACTGTTAGCATGTCACACTGGGTCCAGCCCAGAAATCTGTAGGTTTGACTGGTGTTTACTCTACTTTAAAGTTATCTTAGAATAACATTGATAAATAATAAGAGTAAGATTGTAAAAGTTATATCATCAACAGTGAGTGGACTGGACCAGTAGTTCTCATAATGTGCCTTGGAATTAGTCTTGATTAGTCTTTGATTTTTAATTGGTAGTTTGGGTGAGTGAGCCAATAAATAGTCCAGGAAACAAATTCAGGCTCTGGTGAGAAGAAAAGTTCATCCATAAAGTAATATAGCACAGAAATTACTAGCTGCTATTAATCAGCTCTGCTGAATTCAGTCCATAGTCTAATGATAACTTCCAACAACAGCAGCTTAGATTAAAACTATAAAATCAAAGCCAAGGTTGCATTGAAGTGCATGTTTATTGACTTCTTGACTCCAGGGTTCATACTGGTCAGCTGCCACCTCAGGACAGAGCTTGTATATTTAAACTGACTTCCTGATAGTTGATAGTTGTGTTATTTTTTAAGTGAAACATTTCTCCATGTCCAGTAAACCACTAACACTTGTCTAAAGAGCTCTTTCTGTATCAGTTTTATTTACAGTTTATATCCATCCAACAGACACCAGAAATATAAACAGTCTACATACAAAATATAAGAAATTTCCAAACCTGCCTCTCTGTTAAACTTGTTAGTTTTGACTTTGGAGTTTTTTTGCAGCTTGAGCTAAACAACATCCAGAACAGCATCTCAGCACCTGACAGATGGATGAAGACGGAGGTTTTCCAAAGTCCAGATGAGATCAGATTTGAGCTGCTGATCAAAGTTTAGTTGTGTGTGATCAGTTTGTACACTGAATTTTCTTTCACTCCTCCAACATGCTTCAGCCTCTTCAGCTCGGTAAGACAGAGGATGTAAACCGGCGCCAGAGTTCCAACACTGATGATCCTCTTCAGTTTCTCCATCTGAAACTCTGTGGTTTCTCCTGCAGGGGGCGCCACAGTACAGAGACACACATCAGACATCTTGAAAGATTTCATATGATCATCTGAGAGAATAAAATGGTCTGTGTGGCTTTCTGGATCTTCTATAGCTTCAAAGCAGAACATCACAAACACATCCAACTGATTGGCTCGATTCATTTAGAGAACCTTTGTCTGAGAAGTGACAGAGAAACTCAAACATCAGATCAAAGACTGTTTTTCTGACAGCAGCAGCTCCTAAAACTCCCATTAGGAGAATTTCCAGTTTAACCGTCGCATTAAAATTCAGTCCACCTCAGCGAGCTGGGCTGTATTTATGTGAAAATTATCAAAAGGTGAAACTGGGACGAAACTTCTGTTGTTTCATGTTTTGCTGTCCAACTGAGTGCTAATATTCTAATCACTTAAACACAATATTTGCAGAATTTGCTAAAAACATGTTTAATTAAACTGCTGATTAAATACATCTATGATTTATATCTGGGTGAGAAGATTAACTGTTGAATCACAATCTTTCTAAACTTCCAATCAGGTTTACAGTAACCCTAAGCCTCCACATCGTCGGTCTGATGGATTTGATGGAACATGAATGTGTCATCGGTGCGTTTTCTATGAAGCACTGACCTGGACGCTGCTCTGTGAACGTGTTGATGTTGTGGACGGCCCGGTTCAGGTTGTGTAGCGTCACCTGCCTCAGGTAGTTGGGTAAACTCTGGAACTCGCCGTCTGACACCGCAGACAGACCCATAGCCCTGAGGACAGGACAGACGGAGGATTCATGTTACAGTCAGACAACTACAGATGTGAGTCATATGAGGACGGCAGCAATAAGGAACAGAAGGAAGCAACCAAATAAACATCAGCAGTAAAAGACAGGACAGACAGAAATAAACGCTTCAAAACTCTCAAATCTAATGAACATACTGCAGATGTACACATGATGCTGCACCGTTAAATTAATAGTGATCTGATCTGATGCAGTCTACAACTTTATAGGAGACATTCAATGAAAAAGAAAAACATAACAAAGGTTTTGTCGGCGTGTTAATGCTTGATTAGATGTGACGTAGTTTACTTGTGTTTGTCTTTTTCTGGTCTGAGTTGTGGGTCCTTCGTTCTGATTGTTTTCTTCAGCTGAGCCTGAGACACAAGCTGCACCAAGAAAGGCAGGAAGGTTGAATTTCACATTTTCATACATTTGATGTTCTGCATAAAATGTCAAACTGATTCCAGGTGTTTGAGGAGCAGTTTTTAACATAAACATAAACATAAAGATTTCTGAGAAACAAACTGCATGTAAAACGACAGGAGCCTGACTGACCTTGCAGATGTCCTGAGTGACTGAGCTCAGGTCGGGCATCTCCGGCGTGCTCGGCTCCTGGTAGTCGGTTCTGATCCGAGGCGTCCCCAGACTGAACTCCTGAGTGGTTCCGTCCAGCTCCAGACCGTCACTCGCCACCTTGTCATGGTCACTCATCTTCAGGACTTTTGGATTTCTCTGCAGGGAAACAGGTTAAAAGGCAGGAAAACACTGAACAAGTCGAATCTGACCTTTAAATATTCTATTATTAAATTCATTTTTTACACCTTTTAAAAGTAATTCTGTGGCTGTGCAGGATTCAACACCAGATATGAGAATATTCTGCTTACTTTGACTAGATGTGAAATAATATAAAACACAACAGATTTATGAACTTAAATACTTTTTCAAATTAAAGTATTGATTGTATTTGATTTTTTCAATTTGCCATTTTTCTTACATAAAATAAAAAAACATTTCTTTCTGCTTCTTTTAAAGATTATTTGTCATTTTATTCTTGTGTTTTCAGCTGAATTGTTTATTATGAAGGTTCAAAGTCAGCTGTTACAGACTCATACATAATTATGGGGTCTATCATGAGTGAAATGCTGTTTGAGGCAGCTTCAAAATGGCACGAAAACAAATAATCCAGATTATCTCCATTACATTTAGATACTGTGTCTATAAACCACATTGAGCAGTTACAACAATCCTCCGTCCAAATGGTCGGAAATTTTTAGAAAACTAAAATGATGATGAACAGAAAGCAGTCGAAGCTGATGCAATAAAAACTCCCTTCCTCACCCTTTGTAAAGAGTTTCCCAGAACAGACTCCAGGTTTGGCATCTCTGGCATCTGCTCGCCTCCCAAACCCATCAGAGAAACGTCGGGCACGTCGTATTCCCAGCAGCGTTTGGAGCCTGGAGCTCCTTCAGGAGGAGATGTTGGGAGTTCTTCACTCTGCGCGCCGGTCGGCTCTGGCTGCCGTAAACTCTGAAACAAGACGCAAACTCTGAGCTGAAGGTTTGTCTGGAAGCAAACACATCCTTTCAACGTTCCACACACTTCTTCATACCTTTCTGGTGCTGACCAGTCGGGCGACGTATGGGGTTTGGAACGCTGGGACCTCGGGGGTGCCAGGCAGGTTCGGTCCACCGGGGGATCCAGGCTCACTGGAACCCAGAGCAGGAGAGGCGCACCGAGCGCTCGTCTTTTTCAGCTTGAACCCTGGAGTGCATAGAACAGGCAGCTCTGGAGACTCCAAGGTTCCAGCTGAAGGCAGAAGAACAAAGTCACACAGGTCACGTTTGTGTAGCTCATTCACCGCTGCTCTTGTGTTTCTGTGAATCTATCGGGTGTTTGTGGGTAGTTTGGTTCTCTGAGAACAAAGTAGAGAAGAGCAGAAACCAGACAGAGCAGAGCTGGAACATCCAGTACAGACACAAGGCTGTTTTCTGTATCGTCCCTTTGACAGAAAGAAGTAACTGGCTAGAGGTCAGTTAACAACAGAAGTGAGCTGGAATGCTTTCATACCTTTGGTCTGGAAACTCTCCAACACAGGGTCTGCTGGTGGTTCAGGTTTGTCCTGCGCTGCTCTGTAGAACAAGAAGACGTTCATGAAGCAACACTGGCAGGTTAGTGGAGATCAGATACCTTCACACTGTGCAGCGTTTGTGATGCTCCACCTTTGGGGCTTTTCAACGTTCTTCTGGAGCAGATTCATGGTGAAGGTGTTGTTCAGACACATGCTGTGTTCTGAGACACCAAAGTCGTGCATCTGGGGGGTCTGAAGCTCGTCGTCATCCATCCGCAGAGCACATTTAGGAGTTAAAGGCAGGAGAGGCGGAGCTGGCGTGGTGAGCGCCGGGTGAGGGAGGCTCATCTCAGGCATCGGAGGGACTTCAGAACACCACTCAGCTCCAGCCAGAGCTCTCTTGATCTGCACCTCAGACAGACCGAAGTCGGACAGCTGAGGGGTTCTCAGCACGCCGCTGAAGGTTGGTGCTGATGGAGGCGGTGAGCAGAGAGTCGCTCCATCCTCCTCCTGGCTTCCTTCTTCCCTCTCTGCCGAGTTGGTCTCGTCCTCTGCAGGATCTTCAGCGTCTGCCTCCTGAGCTGCTGCTTCAGCAGGAGAAATAACAACATAAACTCACTTTGGGAGCATCATGTTGTCGTCATTATATATCTATGTGTTACCAGAAACAAACACCAGTGCGCTAGAATCAGGCCTTACTGGTTGGTCTCTGGGAGTCACTGGGAGCTTGGTAGCCATAGTTTTCCCAGTGAGCCTTCAGGGTCTGGATGTCTTGGCTGACTCTCTGCTCCATCACTCTACAGGCCTCAAGGAAGCTGTTCACCTCATTCTCACGAGTTCTCTGCTGAAGCAGTTCCTCCTGGATCTGCCCCTGGAGGAGGGCAGGATTTATCACGTATAAGATATGTGGTCTGAAGACAACAGACTGTATTTAAAAGACTGGCAGTCAATAGAGAAAACTAGAAACTGGTGCTATAAAGTAACCGAGTACAAGAACGCCAGGTTTGTACTAATTACAGCTGAACGATTTGGAGAAACATGTCAGATATGGTTTGATTTGAACATTCACTGTGCAATGGATTTAAACTGTGTGAAACCGTTGACACGATAGTTCCAACCTCTGGGTCTAAATTGCAGTGATTTTGATTTAAAGGTGACTGTTCAGCTCTGGAAACGTAGAGAAGAACTACAGTACAGTCACAACTAGTTACTACTCAGACTAGTTACACAGTAAGACTTTACATTAAAAAGCACAACATCAGTGAATAAAAGACAACCTGCTGTTAGAGATTACACTCCTGGTTTCCAGTAAACCCTCGTTTAAATTAAACGTCGCCAGTGAGTTGTTGGCATTTTGATGAAAGACACATTTGCCTTTTTAATTTGTGAATCAGAATCTAATGTTTCTTTGTTTAAATTCTATTAATCGTGTGTGTTTATTGTGTTTAACTCTGGAGCTGATTGACCCAAATGGTGGAACCACTCAGAACTACTGGACTGTACGTGACCAACTTAAAACTAAACATCCATCAACGGCATGAAGAAGAAAGTCTATCAGCAGCATAAGCCTTTTCTTGCAGAACCAGGACTTTCACTTTGACACTTGAGGTACATTTTGCTGATGCGTCTGATACTGACGCAGGACTCAGTGTAGAAACCAGATTCGTTAATAGCTGACTCGCTGCAGTCTTTTGTGTATTCGAGCTCAGCAGCTGCAGAGAACGTGATGATTGAAATTAGAACGTCTGGTTATTCTGCTCCCTGAAAATGTCTGATAAATAAACATACTGCACCTTCAGGCTCCCGATGTTGAAGTTCAGTTCATGATATGTTCGCATCGCCTTCGCTGTGGTTTCTGAAAGAAGGAGCTCAGACTGACACATGTGACGTAGCTACACATTTCATACGTAAAGTTAAGTCCAAATCATTCACACCACGGGAACTTTTATTTGAGCAAAAAGTTTCTTGAGCCTCAAAATGACAAAAAATAGTAAGAACCGTTTTTTTTCTCCATCATTTTCCTCAAATATCAGATTATTTATACTATTTCCTCAGTAATCAGCGGCGAAGCTCTCATCTTAACTGTTCTCATCATTTCTAAGAAGTTTCCTGCAGGTCTCCACTGGGGTCATGGACTGTTCCTCTTTTATATCTCTAGTTGTTCTGTGTCTCTTTGTGGTTGTGTTGATTCTCTCTGTGTCTCTTTGTGGTTGTGTTTCATCGTTGTGTCTCCACGGGGATCTGGTTCCTCCAAGTGTCCATCTCCAGATCTTTAAAGGCTTCCTCTCCATCACTCTGCTCTTCAGTTCCTCCACAGGTTCTGGATGGATTCAGGTCTTGACTCTGGCTCCAACATCTTCTGGTGGTTTTCTTCTCACCATTTCTTCACATCATGCTGCCTCCTGACCAGGCTGACTGCTCCGTCAAAGCATCACCTTCCACCACCATGTCGGACCGTGGGGATGCTGCTCGTGGCCTTGAATGCTTCTCCTTTCTTTGTGTCCAAACAGCTCCATGTTCATTCAGCACAGAAGTGATGAGCAGCAGCTTTCTTGTTTGTCTCGGAGAAGTGGATCCTCCTTGCGTCCATGGAGACCAGTCTTGTTCTTGGTCTGCTGGAGTGACACGTTGCTACGAGAACTGCTCACATCCATCAGGGCGCTCACCTGAGCCTTGGGTTCTTCTTCTAGTGCAGGACTCCCGTCTGTCTCTGACATGTTCCACAGTGAGGAACCCCTTGGACTTCTTCATGAAGTTTCAAATTGTCAACACTGGACCTTCGAAACACCTGGTAGGACTACGAACTGACTAGTAACTAACTGACTAGTAGCTGAGTAGAGAACTGCTGTATCAGAACATTGTAGAACTCAACATTTTGTAAATGTCATTTTCGTGAAACAAACACAGAGGATCAGCTGGAATTCACCGCTGACTTCTGTAACGTTCTGTTGTTGATATGAGACACATAATAAATAAATATACATATAAGAAACCTTGTGGTCAAATAAAAAATGAGCCGTAAACAGAAGCCGTCGGTGGCGGGCTGCTACCTGAAGGGGACGGGCCTACAGGTGTGCTTCACTCACCGCTGTCAGGGTCCCGTCGGCGGTTTTCAAAGGCTCCTTGGAGTCTGACGGTTTCGGACTCCAGAGTCACCGCTAGCTTCCGGAGTCTGGAGAAGAACTGAGACGTCGGGTCCATCTTAGAGCTGAAACCTAACAGAGAACTGCATTTAAATACTTGAGACGGATTCCGAGCCGGAGAAGCCGTTAGAGCTTCTTCTGTCCTCCAGCGGAAAAAAACAAAACAAAACACTTTTGGATTTTGGCGCCTGTTCCGGCTTTGAGCGGAAGTGCTTCTTCTTCGAGGGCTTTAGTCGCGCAGCGGGTAAATGGCGTCACTGGCGCCCCCCAGTGTTCACAGCGGTGAGTGGGAGGTTTACACTCAAAGCCAGCGATGGATCAGGTGTTGTGCCGACAAAAGCACCCCCTCTCAAGGAGCGCAGAGACGGTCATTCGCCTGTAGATGAAAATAAAAAAAAAGTTTAACAGTAATATTAAATATTTGTCTGTACATGGTCACGTGGAAATAATAAGAACAACAGGGACCGGTACAGCTGCCAAACTGTTTGTAAGGAAGCGCAACTGTCAACAGGATGCATTTCTGCCAAAAGAATCACAGATCTTTTGAAGCGTAATTCCAAGCTATTATGGAGCCCGAAAGAAAAAGAAAGGTTCCCGCCATGTGGGACAATTTTGATCTTATATCGGCAAATAAGGTATTTGTTTTTATTTCCTTGTTGTTTAATCCTGTTCCTGGAGAACTTGCATCAAAGAAACGCAATCGCCTTAATGCCAAGACATTGGAACAATTGTTTATTTGATTAAAAATGTATATATATAGAAATCCCCTCCTTGCCTCAGAGACAGGTACATCAGCATCCTCACATCCAAAACACTTTCACTTTGATGTTCACGTTATGACACACGTTCACATTATTTATTGACTGTATATTTTAAAGATATCAAATATATTTTAATATAAATCAAGATATAAAATACTACAATATAAAATGCAATAACTTAAATTGTATTATTGTTTTACTATAGGTCATTAAATCAGTTTATCAGTTGAGCCTGTCTACTGGGTTGCCTGTAAGGATTTTAAGATCCAGCAGGTGGCACTATTGAGCAACACAGTGACACAGTACCCACACAGTTTGGGTCGCTTCATGAGGCCTCATCTACCCATCACTACTGAACACAGAGCTCAGCAGTGCACATGTGCAGTAGTGAACTGCAGGAGAAGCTTCTAGAAACTTTACGGGGCGGCTGTGGCTCAGGTGGTAGAGC